GTGCATGTAAAAAACGCGGGCTGGGTTTAGAACTAGCAAGGTGTGCGCTAGAACTGACTGTATACAAGGTAGAACTAGGGTAATAGAAGCTAGAACTAAAGTAGAAGCAAGAATTAACAAGTGTGCATGTAAAAAATACGAGCTTGGTTTAGAACTAGCAAGGTGTGGGCTAGAACTGGCTGTATACAAGCTAGAACTATGGTAATAGATACTAGAACTAACGTAGAAGCAAGAATTAACAAGTATGCATGTAAAAAACCCTTGTTGGGTTTAGAACTAGCAAGCTGTGGGATAGAACTGGCTGTATACAAGCTAGAACTAGGGTAATAGAAGCTTGAACTAACATAGAAGCATGAATTAACAAGTGTGAAGGTAAAAAATGTGGGTTTGGTTTAGAACTAGCAAGGTGTGGGCTAGAACTGGCTGTATATAAACTAGAACTAGGATAATAAAAGCTAGAATTAACGTAGAAGTAAGAATTAACAAGTGTGCATGTAAAAAACCCTTGTTGGGTTTAGAACTAGCAATGTGTGGGCTAGAACTGGCTGTATACAAGCTAGAACTATGATAATAAAAACTAGAACTAACGTAGAAGCAAGAATTAACAAGTGTGCATGTAAAAACCCCTTGTTGGGTTTAGAACTAACAAGGTGTGGGCTAGAACTGGCTGTATACAAGCTAAAACTAGGGTAATAGAAGCTAGAACTAACGTAGAAGTATGAATTAACAAGTGTGCTTGTAAAAAACCATTGTTAGGTTTAGAACTAGTAATGTGTGGGCTAGAACTGGCTGTATACAAGCTAGAACTAGGGTAATAGAAGCTAGAACTAACGTAAAAGCATGAATTAACAAGTGTGAAGGTAAAAAACGCGAGCTGAGTTTAGAACTAGTAAGGTGTGGGCTAGAACTGGCTGTATACAAGCTAGAACTAGTGTAATAGAAGCTAGAACTAACGTAGAAGCAAGAATTAACAAGTGTGCATATAAAAAACCCTTGTTGGGTTTAGAACTAGCAATGTGTGAGCTAGAACTGGCTGTATACAATTTAGAACTAGTATAATAGAAGCCAGAACTAATGTAGAAGCATGAATTAACAAGTGTGAAGGTAAAAAACGCGGGTTTAGTTTAGAACTAGCAAGGTGTGGGCTAGAACTGACTATATACAAACTAGAACTAGGGTAATAGAAGTTAGAATTAACGTAGAAGTAAGAATTAACAAGTGTGCATATAAAAAACCCTTGTTGGGTTTAGAACTAGCAAGGTGTGGGCTAGAACTGGCTGTATACAAGTTAGAACTAGGGTAATAGAAGCTAGAACTAACGTAGAAGGAAGAATTAACAAGTGTGCATGTAAAAAACTCTTTGTTTGGTTTAGAACTAGCAAGGTGTGGACTAGAACTGGCTGTATACAAGCTAGAACTAGGGTAATAGAAGCTAGAGCTAACGTAGAAGCATGAATTAACAAGTGTGAAGGTAAAAAACGCAGGTTTGGTTTAGAACTAGCAAGGTGTGGGCTAGAATTGGCTGTATACAAACTAGAATTAGGGTAATAGAAGCTAGAATTAACGTAGAAGTAAGAATTAACAAGTGTGCATGTAAAAAACCCTTGTTGGGTTTAGAACTAACAAGGTGTGGGCTAGAACTGGATGTATACAAGGTAGAACTAGGGTAATAGAAGCTAGAACTAACGTAGAATCAAGAATTAACAAGTGTGCATGTAAAAAACCCTTGTTGGGTTTAGAACTAGCAAGGTGTGGGCTAGAACTGGCTGTATACAAGCTAGAACTATGGTAATAGAAGCTAGAACTCACGTGGAAGCATGAATTAACAAGTGTGAAGGTAAAAAAAGCGGGCTGAGTTTAGAACTAGTAAGGTATGGGCTAGAACTGGCTGTATACATGCTAGAACTAGGGTAATATAAGCTAGAACTAACTCGACGGCTACTAGAATTACCACGATAGCATCTAGAAATAACATATCATTAGGTATAACTATTATCAAATATAATTTACAACAATTTATAAAAATATGACTGTATCATTATTTATAACAACGATTTATAACTACCGTCCCAGCTTACAACGATTTTTCGTAATTAAATATTTTGTTAGCTTATTTTGCTAATTAAGTTTTAAAAATTGTCTATTTTAAAAATTTGTTCGAAATTAAAATACAAAAAGACTGCGCACATTAGGTTTATTGCAAATTCAGCTTCCTACAAAAAGGCGTGGATGTCTCGTAAAAGTGGAAAAATGGGGACAACTTTTGACTATTTTTTAAAATTAAATCGTTCATTTATTTGTAGCTGGTCAAACATTTTTTTTTATTTTTTTATCTTTTCTTCTTCTAGCTAATGGATTAATGCTCTGTGCGTCTCGACGACGGCGATCTACGGCGGGGGAGCGGCGGCGATCTACGACGACGAGGACGGGTGGAGGAGGGGAGGGGAGGCAGCGGCGAACTCGAGGGGAGCCTTGGGGGCCTGAGCGGAGGCGGCAACGGCGAGGAGGGCGAGGGCCAGGTTGACGAACTTGAGAAAGCTATTAGTTTTAGAGAGAGGAGAGAGAGAGGAGAGAGAGAGAGAGGAGATGAGAGAGAAAGATGATATGATTGCTGGGTCTGAGAGATTGAGAAGAGAGGATAAGGATAATTTGGTGATTTTAGCTTAGCTGACATGTAATAATTAATAAAAAATAACTGCAGTACAAAGTGTCACACATCAAGAGGCTCACATGGAGAAAACTATGAGGGGTCTCGTCACATGAAGTTTCTGCTTTTGGGGCCTGTACACATTTCCCTAAAAATTTAGCCTCATGCAAACTAGTCAATCACTTATCAGCTACAATACAACTCCATAACATAACTTTGTATTTTAAGAATCAATCCCTCAAAATAGTAATAATTCGAAATATGCCCCAAAAAATATGTACTTTTGAGATCTACTAATGTCAACATAGGAGTTTTTCTATTAACAGTTAACTTGAGTTGAGTTGGCTATCTACTAATGTCGCTTCAACATAGGTTTTTTCTGTTAACAGTTAACTTGAGATGAGTTAGCTATCTGCTAATGTCACTTCGACATAGGTTTTTTTTTATATTAACAGTTAACTTGAATTGAGTTAGTTATCTACTAATGTCACTCCAATCTAAACTAAGTTTAAATTTCACAAAACATGTTTTAATTTCACAAAGTTCTTGTGGAATATAAATTTAATCCTCTCATAAGCATCACAAGCTTTCCTTAAAGCTATTTTAAAACTTTGAAATTTAATAATTATCATAGATCTAAAGGTTTTTTTATTTATTAAACTTAATAAATGATAGGGTTTCTTCATAAATTGGCTATAAGTGAATGGGTCTATATATCCCAACTTGAAGCTAAGTTTAATTAAGGGTTATTTAGATATTGGTCCCTCAAATCTTCAATAGTTTCATATTAGTCTCTCAAATATTTAGAATTGCTAAAAAGTCCCTCAAATCCTAGGAGGTCTTGCAAATTGGTCCCTTGCTCTAAACTTATGTTTTTGTGAACACACAATGGTTCTCTGGTGAAAATATAAGCTGAGGACGTTTTGGTCATTGAGTGATCAATTTGTAAGACCTTTCGATTTGTAAGACCTTTTAGAATTTGATCGTTTGAGTGACTTATGAGCAATTTCAAAGGTTTGAGGAACAAATATGGAATTAGTGTAGAGTTTAGGATAAATATTAAAAACACTCATCAACTTACGAAGAATTAAGACGAAAAGATCTTTTTTAAGAATAATTAGTAAAGTCTACCCTTATAAAAAAAATATTTAGTAAAACCAATTTCTTTTTGGCCAGCTGGTAAAAAAGTTGATTTTGCAAAATATTAACTTTAAGAAAAATTTCCTAATGACTCAAAATATGGAACCAACATGGAGGACATGTGAAGTGTCTCCCTCCTATTGCATAATGAGTTGCCCATCATTAATAATGTCCAACACATTATGTAATAGGAGGAGAACACCTTATATGTCCCCCATATTGGTCTCATATTTTGGGTCCCTGTAGCAAAACTCTTTTACTAATTATTTTTTAAAAGTGTCCTTTAAAAAGTTTTCCTCGACTAACGATTATAATTTGTCCAACTACCGAAACAGAAAAGGAGGTTGAAGTACAGCGGAACAGTGTGCGGATCGAAGACCTTATCGTCACCGGACAAATTTTCAAAACCAACCCATTTGATAAACTAATTGCAAAAAACGATCCGTTTCAGATTTATTTAGAGAAACCGACCTGGTTTCAGCGCTGTCGCTGAAACCAGATCGGTTTTTCTAAAAAACTTTACGAAACTTCACGGGAGTTCAACTCCCGTGAAGTTTTTTCTCATAACAAAACTTCACGGGAGTTGAACTCCCGTGAAGTTTCGGAAACTTTTTTTTAAAAACCGACCTAGTTTCAGCGCTGAGGCTGAAACCAGGTCGGTTTTTGCAAATAAAACTGAAATGAGTCTTTTTTTAGGAATAGTTTATCAAATGGGTTGGTTTTGAAAATTTGTCCTATCGTCACCGCATGCGTCATTAAAGTCCGTTATAAATCTCGCCACCCAAAACCCAAACACCACACCACTCCCCCTCCCGATTCCCGTCTCCGCCCGTCCCCCCTAAATGGCCGCGGAATCAGTTCACCGCCGCCCCCACTTCTCTTATCGTCACCTACCCACTCCAAAAGCCACATCAACCCCTCGCCCTCAACCTCGCTCCCGCCTCTCCTCCCGCGCTCTCGTCACCTTCTCCACCGCCGAATCCGCCACCGCCGCATGTTCTCCGGCTCCCGACCTCGGCGTAACATCACCTTCCTTCCCTACCCCGACGTCAAGTTCACCCCCGACCTCAAACCCGAGTCGGACGCCGTCGCCGGGTTCGCCTCCGTCATCCGACTCCTCGCCGCACGCGCCCCCGCGTGACCTGCGTGATCTACACCATCCTCCTCACGTGGGCGCCGACGCCGCAAGTGACCGCAACGTCCCTCGGTTCAGTTCTGGATGCAGCCCGCCACCGCCTTCGCCTCCTACTACCACTACTTCCACGGGCACACGCGCACTGATCAACACCCACAGCAAAGACCCTCGCTTCCCGATAAAACTACCGGCCTGCACACCGATGGAGATGAGGGACCTGCCCTCCTTCATAACCACCGCGGACGCCGGGCCGACGGCGGCCCTCCTACTCTATGATCTCCCGCGCCTTCAGGGAGGGTTTCGAAAAGATCGACAGGGAGGGGCCCAAGCCGGCCAGGATTCTGGTGAACACGTTGGCCGAGCTCGAGCCGACGCGTTTGAGTCCGTTCCCGGGTTGGACTTGATCCCGATCGGGCCGGTTTTGCCGGCCAGACCGAGTTCGACCTGTTCGAGCCCGACGAGAAGAAGTACTCGAGGTGTTGGACGGGAAGCCGGAGAATCGGTGGCCTACGTGTCGTCGTAAGCATATCGGTGCTAAAGAAGGTCCAGGTGGAGGAGATTTTGAGAGGGTTGAGGGGAGCGGAGACCGTTCCTGTGGTGGTCAGGAGGGACAGCCGGCACGAGGGCGTCGAGCTCGAGGGGGCGACGAGAACGCGATGGTGGTCGAGTGGTGCTCCCAGTCAGGGTCCTGGGCACCCCTCGGTGGATGATGCCTTCGTGACGCACTGCGGGTGGAACTCGACCACCAGAGCCTGGTGCATGGCGTGCCGACCGTGGCGCGTGCCGCAGTGGTCCGACCAGGGCACCAACGCCATGCTCATGGAGAAGGTGTGGGACCGGGGTCCGCGGCGAGGTCGATGGAGACGGCGTTTTGGAGGGGGCGGATGAGGAGGTGCTTGATCTGGTGATGGGGGAGGGAGAGGGGGAGGGAGATTCGAAGACGCGGGGGGCGTGGAGGGCGAAATGTTTGGGATGGGGGGCTGTCAGCGAAGGAGGATCGTCTGATCGGAATCTGAGGGCTTTTATCGAGGGTATTCATGAGAACTATAAACAAGATTGTCATCAGTAGATATTTTTGACGTTCTAGCTAGCGAAAAAGGTTGGTAGTTTCCGTTATGATACCGGGGGTCTTTCTTGTAAATTCATTTCTTAGAAGAATCTGTGTTTTGAAGATGCACGGTTCATGTCGACGAACGAACGTACGTAGTCCCAAGATTCCAAGCTCGAGGAAATAATATGAATACGTTAAGCAAGTAGCTTGGGTGGACACAGTAGTGGTGCTAGTAGTCCCGCCTACGGACCCCCCCTGATGCTAGCTCTAGTGGCG